AGCTAAACATATTCAGATTTCAGGGGTTAGGATGTGAATATCTAGGGTGGACTATTATTCTATTTACCACAGTGGCTAGCTTACATCTCCTTCATACTTGGGCTTAAACTCACCTTCTCAGTGAGGCCTCCTGTTTGATACTGCAAACTGCCCATCCCCCATCTCCATATTCTCAACTCCTTTGCGCTGCTTTGCATTTTCTTTTATTCCAAAGCACAGTTCTTTCTCGCTAATATACTATTTTCTTATATATGTTCATTATTGGTCTGCACACACATTGCAAGTATACACTCCAGGATACTTCTCATTGCTGTATCTCAAGACCCAGGACAGTCCTTAGCTTGTTGGAGTTGTGTACCAGTGTGTTTGTTGAGTGAATGGATGAATGAACAGTGTGTGAAGTTTAAGCAGATCTTTACTTTCTTGTTGCCCAGCATGGTTGCCTACAAATGGACCTAAAATGAAGAGAAGTACTTGGGACCCCTAAATTCATTAGCTTTACTCTCTAACCTCAAAGCTTTTAATCCTGCCAGCTCTAGAACTACAAAACCTCAGAAAGACTGGCGTCGGCAAGACTCTGTAGTTTGTCTGTAGGAGCCATAAAGGGCCAAGAGACAGAGAGATGTTAGTGTTCGCTGCCAAAGAACATTCTCCCTGTGACTCCTGCAGCTGTTCCGTGCATTGTCTCTGGCAGCTCTTGGACCCTTGTTAGCCCCAAGGCCAAAAATCTGAGCTTGACAACGCCAAGGAATCCGTAGAGCTGGTGAGGCAGCTAACATGGTGTGGGGGTGAGGTGGGGATTCAACAGGGATTCTAGAATTAAGGAAATCCCATGAAGTTTAAGGCCACAAACCTTTATTATTTTAGAAACCATAAAGCAAAGTGAAGAGGTTTAAGGAAAACAAATGAATGTCTCATTCCTGTAGCAGACACGTCAGCCCCATGATTTAGTGCTTGGTTGACTCTTCTGTTGCTTAATTCAGTAAAGCTGAAATGTATCCTGAAAATGCCATTTTAGTGGGAAAGATAAAACAGTATTCTGTAGGAATAGTGTCTGCTGGATAGATGACCCCATCACTTGCTTACCCAGTTCTCATATGTAAAGTTCTCAGTACTCACTTCACTGATTATTTTGAGCGCTTTAGCTCCTTGCCTCGAGTTCCCCCTAGACAGATGCTTTTTGGCCAAGGTAAGTTCTGCTCTTAAACTTTAGAGACAGGTGGCTTCTGTTCACCTTGTAATTTGGCCTTTAGAGAGGTTTGATGTGGTCAGAGGAAAGGCTTTGCACTACCCTGGTTCTGTGCTGCTCTAGGTATTGCGAACGCTCTAGCTGCAAGTAAGTGTCCAGACCAGGGTCACTATCCAAGCTGGGCCTTTTGAGTGTGAGAGAGATGCTTGTTCTTGACTCTAGCCATGATGCTTTTTAGAGATGTCACCTTTTATATTTGCTTAAACTTTCTAGTCTGTATCAAATTAAAACTGTTTGAGATACGTAACTTAATTATGATGCATTTTTAAACAGCTTTGTGTTAAAATCTGTTTAATTTTTTCACAAATACCTTTGCTTCTGCCATTTCCCTCAAGTTAGACACAGATTCCAGATGCCACACCTCCATAACCCTGCTGGCCAGAGGCTTGGAGCTCATTTGTACCATGCTTTTGGATTTGTCTTGGCTTCCAGCTTCTTGTAGTTGGCAAGTTGGTGTGATAGGCTCTTGAAATGAAAGTACACAGGTGATCACTCCAGAAATGAAAGTACACAGGTGATCGCTCCAGATAGTTTGCTTTGTTATGCCATTTAACAAAAATACGGATTTCAGTGGGTGAGGGTGGCTGATGGAGTGCGCCAAAAATTGAAAAGATGCTTTCATAATTATCTCTGGTTTGAAATACCTGATGGGGGGGTTGAAAAAGAAGCTCCTAAGTTTGCATGCATTCAGGGAGGTGATTGTCCTTTCATATTCCTGGTTTTTTAAAGGAACTGTTCTTATTCTTACATATGTTTTGAATACTTAGTCTGTACAAACCCCGGAAATGGATGTGGGGTGGGTATGGCTGGAACTGCCTGAGCAAAGCCAGAGGATGTATAGCTTTGAATGGACTGTGACTGTTTGAGGGACAAAGAGTGGTTCAGATTTTTAGGTGCTTGAATAAGTGAGCTGGGAAAAGTAGTTGTAGAGGGTCTCAGATGTTTATACTGTTTATAGTGAGTAGTTTATACTTAATTTGATAGGCAGCAGGGAGCTGTTGAGGGTTTAGGAAAATCCATGTGGGGTTAATGTGGATTAGGATGATGAGGGACCTTTTGGGAGGCTGTTACTCAGTGGTCCAGAAGAGAGATGAGGGCCTAGATGAGGATGGTAACCATAGCAATGGAGAGGCCTGTGCAGACAGGCCTCCTCAGGGGATGTGCAGCGGCCTTTTGAGCAGTCCTGCTATGGCTTTCACCCGCAGAGGTCTGGTCCCCAAATCAGGTGGGTTCTAGCTCTTGGACACCTTTTTTTGTCTTGCAGACATTGCACTTAATGAGAATTCTCAGAATGTATTTAGGATGCTTTTGTTGAGCAGTCTGTCTTGTTTGGTGGCTGTCTGCAAGAGGTTTGAAAATAGAAAAGCTGATAACCTTAGTTTTCAGAATTTTTTGTTAAGAAGATTGGAAAATGGGGACTTTTCCTTCTCTCTCATATGGCCAGAAAACTGTGGTCCCAGATGTGATAAAGTGAGCAGTAGCATTGGTTTCCTGAAAACCCACTATTGTAAGAAACTTTAGAAATGAAAGTATGTAGAGGGCCATTTAAGTAAAAAGGAAAAAAAAATCAATTTAAAAAGTTTTTATGGATTTTTAGAAGTAAATTATGTGAGTGTGAAAACAGAGCCCACTCCCCCTCCTCCCGATAAAATCATGCTTCCACCAAACTAAAACCTCATCATTATCTCTTGGAGCCCAGGGAAAGTTTAGAATATTCTAGATTGATCTATGCTAAAGTGCCTCTTCGTAAATTATTACATGGAGAATAACAGGAGAAAAAGCGGTCTCAACTGGCATAATTGACGTCTAAATTAAGACACGAACATATATTGAAACACTATTTTTTTAAGCCTTAAAATTAATGGTTCTGTGTCGCTGGAATATGCCCTTTTTTCCTCTTCCAAGGAGTTTCAGAGCCAGTAGACGCTATAAATAGTGCACAGCCCGGTTGTCTGTGGTAGATTGAGTAGAGCAGAATCGTCTGTCCTTAAGTGAAGGGGAAGTAGCTTTACATTTTTAGTAACTGAATTGTTGGCCAGCATAAAGGTTGAGGACCATGTGAGCAACTTATTTATAACTTCCCATAAAGGTATGTGTCTGCCTCAAGCAGGGAAACTGTCTGGGGTGCTTGAAATGTACAAGTGCAGCAGAATCATTTTCCATACACAGCCTTCCTAGTTAGTTGGTGCAATAAAGCGATTGTCCCCATCCCTGGGGCTTTCAGAAAGTGGGGTGTCAATAGATTAGTTCGTTAGCATCCGCCTCCTATGGAATAGATGGGACTGAGGCCATTACATTTGAATCTGTGGTTTTATGTAGTGAAGCATGTTTAGATATTAACTCCTGAGGACATTCAGGACATAAATTTAAGCTTGGTGTAACTTGTTGGGGTGTGGTCCTCCTACCAATTCTAGCCATGTAGTCTAACCACAATTAGGTCCTTGTCAAAATATTTCACGGGTATAAAAGCACTTTATTTTTTCACAGGTTCAGTTCAACTATAGTTTTTTGTTTTTTTTTTAATTTAAATAAAGGACATAGAATCAGACTGCGTTCTCTGGTAACAGTGGGAGAAGGGAAGAAGAGTAAAACATTTTCGTGGCATCCTGTAAAGAGTATGTTAAACCCTTTCGGTAGATGCCAGAAAATGGAATCTGTTGTTACATGTTATCAATGTCATCACTCGCATCAGGAGTAAATCACTTAGAGGCCAGGTTTAACTCTAAGGATGAAATTTTTCTAATCATAAATACGCAAGTAAAAGGTGTTTTTGGCCTTCCTTTGTTGCTCATTGTTTATTTTCAGAGAATGAATTTTTCTGAATATTATGTTGATTATTTAAAGCATCTGCATGTATAGCTAAAATGTAAACTATGGCTTTTGTGCCAATATCGTGGCTGTGTTTAGTATTCGGGCAAGTTGTGTAAGTGGGAAATGGCCCATTAACTATATTGGAGGCCTCATAGCAGCACTAATTTCAAATCGTGCTGGGTTTACAATTTACGTATTAAAAAATGTTCACTTGATTTCGTTCAGGGACAAAGCTGACATCCTATACAAGCGTTACTCCAAACAATCCTATTTATTGGTCCAATTATTTCAATTAAAAGATGCTGGTTTACTGCCTCTTAGTACATGTGAACAATTCTCAGTGAAACTGTTAGAGATCAGTTTGACTATAGTGGCAGAATAACCTCACGGGGTTTCGATTCACTTTTAATTTTAAGTCCCAGGATTAAGGATCATTTATAGTATAATGTAACGATGTGGGCAAATATAGCTTCTCTTAATGCCCCTCTGATATTTTGGGGAAAGAGTGCTTTTATGCAAAGCATTCACTTATGAATTGCATGGCTGCATTTTCCCACTACAAAATTTCATTCACATCTCCTCCCTTCTCCCACATCCTGAAGAGACAGAACAGCATGCAGTGTTTTGCTTCATTTTATTATTATTTTTTAAAATTTTTGAGATGTGTAAGGTTAGTTCTTTAGGCTAGATGCCAAGGTAACTAGTTAATACTGCTTTAAAATCAGGCTCTTAATTAAAAATGCTTAATTTGTGCAAGAAAACTACATGTTAAAATGAATTTGGAAAGATTAGATTGGAATTGCCTCAAATTCAATTAAGCCACACTGCATGGACGTGCTGGGAATATCAATACAATCACTGTAAATTTTGTACAAACTGATTTGTTGCATTATCTTGCTCATCTAACATACGATACTTTTTGTGTCCATATTGCAGACGGCAACTCCAAACTAACATGGCAGTCAGACTGTGTGATGTGGCTTCTCTGCTTAGAAGTGGTTCGTGGGCAGCAGAGCCTTGGACTGGGGTCTGTGGGATTTTTCTTAAATTCTGTAGGCTACTTTTTTTAGCATGTTGCAGGAGTGCTGAGGCCATACCAAACACTTGAACTTGTCATTTGGCGTACTAATTATTTTTACATTAAACCTGTTGCGGTATGGCCATCATTAGGACTTAAAGCCCATTGCAATTTTAACCATAGTGGTATATGTAGCATCAGAACCATGCTTTTGTATGTAACTTTTTATAATCAAAATTAGGATTTAGTGCAGACTCAAAGAAAAGAGTGACAAGCTTTTTTTTTAAAAAACAAAAAAGTTTTGGTATGGTCTGAATACTAAGTTACCGTAATTCTTTACATTCTGTTTACTATGTATTTTTTTGGTTACTAAATTTTGAAGTTATTTACAATTCCTGATGCTCAAAAAAAAAAAAATTGTTGAAATCGTAAATCTGGCTGAAAATTATTTGCCCAGTAACTGTTGAAAGAGTTTGCATTCTGTGAACAGTTGTGTTGAGCCTATCAATGGAATATGCATTATTTGTAAAATATAGCACATTAGTATCATTTTATTCTGAGCAGATGGTCCTATAGCTGAGAGATGCTGTAATTTTCAGCGCACACAGCCTACTGCAGCTGTTCACTTGAATGTTGGCTTAGGAGCTCATTCTTGCCACCTGAACATGGAAATAAATGTGCAATTAAGTGAGGAGTGTTTGTTGTCCTTGCTAAATCCTGCTAATTTCAGTCAATGAACACTTTATATTTCAAATGCCACCCTAGTGAGCTTCTGTCCGAATCTCATATTTCGGGCTCATATAGTTTCTCCATATATCCTGAGTTTTGAAGAGCAATTTGTTTTAATTGGCTTTGGCCACTTTTATCTTGCAACTCATTGTTTTCATAACTGCTGGGCAAAGGTTAATCCCACAAGAATTTTGCTGTGAAAAGTGACCCACAGCTAATATTGTACAAACTGGAACAGTTATGCTTTATTAGCAAATCTGAAACCTCCTTTCTCAGTTTCAGATAAATTAGTTAATTATAATAAAATGCATATCTTGAATTGTTTCAGATTTTTTTCATACAGATTTCCAAAGGTTTCTTTATTTTCTTTTACTCCTTTAAATTTTCCCTGAGAACACTTACCTGAGAGAGAGAGCTTGCAGCTTGTAGAATAAATACACATTTCTTTGAAAAGGAAATGAAGTTGTGGAGGGCTTATAGATTGTTCGATATTCATAGATAGTCTGGATTTTGTCGCCTATTTTTTATCATGATAGCACTGATTCTTGTCCAGTCTGACCAGTCTCACATCTGTCTTATGCTGTCGCCTTTTATAAACATCTCTTGGCAGTAGAGATTTCTTCCTATAGATTTATCCACTGTCGTTCCCCTGTATTTTTCTTAGGCAATATGCTTTTTAAGACTTTTTTCTCTTTTCTTGTAACATTCTTTCCCTCTACTTTGCTTTTTTTATTTTGCCTTAGATTCTTTACCTTTTATATATTAAAACTTCCCTAAAACTAGCATCCCATCACTTTAGAATTGTAAATTTTGAGAAGCAGTTCTTTGTGGAGATGAGTGATATATTGGATGAAATATGAAGGATAGTCCTCTCAGTGATGCTTTGATTTTTTTGAATTCCCCTACAATCTTGGCTGTCCAAAATAGATAGCTGTTGGAAGATCGTTTTAGAAAATTTGGGGTTGTGGTTTGTGACTCTTTTGCTCAAAGAGCTTAGGATTGATTTTTTTAGGAAACTAGATCCAAATTTGCTTTAATAAGTGATTTTTAGAGTAGCCGGAACAGTTTGAGGCCATGTTCCCTAATTCTGCTATTTATCCTGTATTCGGAGTTTATGGGTTCCTTATTACTTGCATTTTCAGCAGGCTCATGTGCTCAAATCAGAATTTCTTGGGCTGGTCTGTTTGCAAAAGTTGATATACTTTGTTGTTTTGGTGGATTGGATAGGTTTTTTTTTTTTTTTTTCCTTTAAAGTCAGAGTCAAGGCAAAACGCCATATTGAATTGTTTGGGGATTTTATTTTGATGCTGTAGATCAGTTGCCTTGTTGGTGATCTTTAGCTGCCAAGGTAGATGAGAATGGCTTATTTACCTACAAGGTACACGCACTGTACTCACAGCTTCTTTCCCAAGTTATCCTACAAATTCTTTTCCTGCCCTAACATATAACAGCTGATATGATTCTTATTTCTTACCAACAGTAGAGGTATAAGATATTGTTAATCAAAAATATTTTCAATATGTAACCAAAACAGTACATGTTGACAAACTTATATTTTTTTAAAGTACTCTTGCTCCTTGATTTTAAGTTAATGGATGTCTGTCAGTTTTAGAGTATTGAAACTCTTAGACTAACTGAAAAATCTCTTGAAAGTTAGGTAGACTACTTTTTGGTTTGTTTTTGGTAGCATGTTAAGTACTTTTATTTTCTAGTATGATTTTTAGTCAGAGTTCAATTCTCTGCCCTTGGGTACTAAATTTCCTCAAGTCTCTGGACACTGCAGGTGAGTAGGGGTGTGTGAGTAGACCCAGAATGCGGTTCTAGAGAATATTTAAGATTTAAATTGTGCTTATGTGCATGTATGGACTATGTATATGAAAATATAACTGTGTTCTTAAATTGAATAGCTTAATATCAAGTAAAAATTAGCATAGGTGTTGCACTTTTTGTTGAAGCTTTGTTGTAATTTCAGCAGAACGACTTGTGTTTAGTGACAAGTGTTTAAATTCTTGGATGGAGTCTCTAGTAGTGCAATATGAATTCTGACATTTCTTATTTTCTCTGTTTTTAGCAGGTAATTGCTGCCATGGAAACACAACTGTCTAATGGACCAACTTGCAATAACACAGCCAATGGTCCAACCACCATCAACAACAACTGCTCGTCACCAGTTGACTCTGGGAACACAGAGGACAGCAAGACCAACTTAATAGTCAACTACCTTCCTCAGAACATGACACAGGAGGAGCTCAAGAGTCTTTTTGGGAGCATCGGTGAGATCGAGTCCTGTAAGCTTGTAAGAGACAAAATAACAGGTATGCAGTTTTATATAGGTTACTCACATTTAAAGGATTGTGTTTAAAGGTGTTAGAAAATACTAAGTTTACTGCTTGTAAATCATTCAGTGCTGTAGTTTTGTGCATCTAGATATTCTCTCTGCTACTGACTACCTCAGCAGTATGAAACTTAGTTTTAAGAGTTTTGTTCTCCTTTTAACACATAAAGTATTTGTATCGGCAGTGTGTGTTATGACTAGACTTTCATATACTCTGAACTGTACAATAACATCTTTGAAAAATGTTTTAAAAGTGTGTGTGTGTCTAGGGCAGCAAGTGTCGTGTTAACCTTTAGTTTGTAGTTCTGAGTTGACACAATTTAGCGTTTCAGCAGTGATATATAAGGACAATATTGTGTTTGGGAGAGAGGAATAAAACCGCGTAAATGTCCTTTCCCTTAAGTCTGTATAGTCCTTTTGCTTATAATATATATGACAGAGTAAATGGTAATATTCACATTGTCAGTGTATAAATATTTGCACTGATATAATTTGAGTGTAGCAAGATCTTATGTTCTCTTCCCTGACAAGGAAAGGAAAAAGTGATGTGTGAGTGCTCTTCTTATCATAAAGATAAGAATGAAAGGGATGGGTAATTTGGCCTTTAATGATGGTACGTTTTGAATATTAGGTAGTAGAAAATCGCTTTAGTATTTTGTAAGATTTGACTAAATTTTTAGGACAAGCCAAAACTTAATTAAGGAGCATGTTCTTGGGATAGAGGGTTAATGCTCCCTGCAGGCGTTGTTTTCAAACACTGAAAATGTGTGGAATTAAGTGTAGACTAACTCTTTAGCTTTTTCATTTTATTGTTAAATGTGAGTGATGGTGTGTGTCAAATTGCTTTACATGGCTTATAACCGAAAATATAAAACTATTTGAAACGAGTAAAGGATACTTAAAGGCAGTGTGAAGAGTTGTACCAGGAGTCTGAACTTCAGCTAGTCATATGACCTTGGACAAGTCAGCTCTTGGCCAGGTTTCCTTTGGGTAAAACAAAGTAGAGGACAGAGGAAGGAGTCACACTAGGTGATTTCTGAGGTCAATTTTGACTTTTTCTGAGATGGTACCATTAGCTATTCTTTTATCAAGACAGCAGGGCTTACTCTGTCCAGGATGAGTGAGTTCTTAGAGTTGTCGCCTGGGCTTGGCCTCACAGTCGTATTTCCTTGAGCTACAGATTGAGGTTCACAGAGAGAACTTATTCACTGAAATCAGGTAAATCAAGTAAAAACTAAGTGAAACCTGGTTGTCATCAATCCATACTGAATAATTATATTTTAACTACTTATGTTACTTAGATGTTCACCATGATATCATCAGGGAGGTTTGTCTTTTGTTTATGACTACTGATAATCAGATGGATGAGATTTTTCCATTTCTTTTTCCAAAATCAATGTGAAAGCATAAAGAACAACGTGAAAGAACAAAAGGCTCTTATTACGTGTGTCTGTTCTGATAATGAATTTTATTTTATTATATTTTTTAAGCCAGACAGCATCCTTTATATATGAATTTTGCAACCTCTTTGACATAAATGACTGATAAATGGTATGCAGGCTGTGACATAGATGATGTGATTTCTGGTTTGATTGCTTATTAGCTGTCCCTACTGTTAAAAAAAAAAAATGCTTGAAGAAGGCATATTTATATCACATTTTTTGTTAGGATACTGGGGGTAGATGAAAATATTAAATAAATCATACATCCTTTGTATTAGACATTTTCCACAGGAAACATCTCAGAGATTTTCATCTTTCGCCTCTGGTCAGTCTTAAATTATCTTATTCTTTTGTAAACCTTTTACTAGAGCTGTTAGATGGTGCAGTAGGATAAGTTTGAGTTCTGTATCTTCACACCCTTTGCCTCCCTGGCTTTAGTGTGGTGGACAGTGGAAATAGAACCCCAGCCCACGGGTATTCTGAAATACCTGGTGAGATACTGGCAAATTGCATTTATATTTGTCCATCTCTTTCATCCCCCGCCTCCATTGTCTTTGCAGTGAGAGAGGGCTAACGGAGTTCTCCACCATGGTAAAATTTCTGTTTCAAACCTCTGGTGAGAAAGTGGAGTACCCAAGAAAATCCATAGTGGGCATAAGGATCAAAACACGTTTTCTAAGCTTTGTTCCATGAGGTATAGTCACAAATAGTCCTCAAAATAAGTGTTCCATTGACAGACAAGTTTGAGAAATGCTGCCCTCCATAGTTTCCTAAGATCCACACTGCAGATCATCAGCATATTAAAAATGAAACCAGTTTGACTTAGAGTTGCCGGGCCTTATTTGACCACAAAACTCATTTTGGGGGATATCTCCTTGACACTAGATTTCCACTAAGCATGTTGCTACAAAAGCTTTTGAAGTCATTTGTTAGCTGGTCACCAGACAATCTGAAACTCTTCTGTAACCTGTTTATATCAAAAAATATGAGCATGTTTCATAAGATGAACATCCATGATAACGAACTATGAAAAGTTGAACAGGTAAATATGAATACAAAGGACCTCTTCTTCTAGTAACCCTGCTTTGATGTGGCCCACCGACATCTTATTCTTAGTGTGGCTTAAAACCGTGTTCAGAAGGGTCTGACTCATTTAGCCTCGAGCATAAATTACCTTAGATTTTTTTTTCTTCTGAGTTTCTTAGAAATTATTTGTATTGAACAAAACAGCCTCGTAAGTGGTAGATTTGTTGCACTTTGCAAAGTGGGCATCTCTTCCTAAGAAGCTTCTATTAACGTGGGTCTGTGAAGGTTTTGAAAGAATTTGTGAGGATTTGGACCCTGCCCTGTGAGTGAATAGTATTAGCCAGCTTATGCAGCTTATCAGTACACATTTTTAGGGTCGAATCGGAGTTACTTGGTCTCTCTCTGATTATCCAACTCATTCTACTTCCTGGGGAGCTATTGGGCCAGCTCTTTGTATTCTGTTTTTGTAGGAGGTGAGCATTAATTGTCTGGGTTGTAAGAAAACTCTGGGATCACTCTTGGGGAAGAAAATTTCAATCCTCCTTTTCACGTTTCTTAAATCTTTTCTTACTTAAATAATGCTGAACTAGGAAACTATATCTCAGGTACAGAAATATCTAGTGAGGAAAGTGTGTGCCTCTTTCATAAGTCCTAAGAGTATATAATTTTTAGATTGTGTTGGTGTTAGCAAATTAATGTCACTATTTTGATAGTACGAGGATTAGGGAAACGCATTAAGAAACGTCTTCAGCAGCAAACACAGCAATGTGTCTAGCCTAAATTCTATGTATCCTGTTTTTCAGGCCCTGTCCTTGGGCTCGTGCCCAGCTTTACGCTTCATCTGTTCCCTGTCTATAGGCATTCATCATGAGAAGCTACTGCTGCTCGTACCGCTTAGCTGACGTCGGTCCATCCTTTTGAGTTCTTAAATGCACTTCAGAGTCCCTGACACCTGCTGATGCTGCATCCTAGAGGAGTGAAATGGATTTTATGATGCAAGGAATGAGTAATAGAGCCTTAGAGTCAGAAAAGCCCTGGAGGTGACCTTAGCCAACTCCCTCACTTAACAGGTCATGAGAGGCCCAGGTTTGCTGGAATGACTAGTTCAAGGCCACAGGGCTATTAAGTGGCAGAGCGGGGCACAGAATTCTCCCTTTCTGATTCTTTCCCGGGATGTTTCCTCCTTGCCTCTTATTAGAGGCCAGAACTCTTTAAAAATTAAGCACAGGACCAATTGATGAAATTATAGTGAGACATCTAACTTGTACAGGATCACCGAGGGGCATCTTCTGGTGAGTGTCTTCTTTGGAAGGAGAGTGGGAGATTTTTGAGAGTCAAGGGCTGAGGGATACATAAAATGAATGAGAACATCCAGGCTTCTCTAGAAACTTCATAGTCTATGATTGTGAATTCAGATATTCTAGCCCAGTGGTTCCCAGATCTGGCTGTACATCTGGAGTTTTAACAATACAGATTCTGGGGGCTTTGGGACTCTGTTGTCAGAAGGCTCTGCAGGTGATTTTGATGGCACACAAGCAGTTTTGGGAATCAGTCTTTTGAAGTATGGTCAGTAGTGGTCTTGAATTGAGATCACTTGGGTTGACTGCCAAAAAGGCAGGTTCTTGGGTCCTGCCCAGAGTTATTGAATCAGAATCTCCATAGGTAGGGCCTGGAATGTTCCTGTTACCTTGGAGTTATCTACTTCTTTTCCTGAACATTTTGCAGGGAGATAGAACCAGGCTGGAGGTGGGCAGGAGAGGTGTTACAACTTCAGTACCTAATTCCGTGGCAAACCAAGTTTCAGGTGCTGCCCCCTCCCCAGCATTGGTCTCTGATGGGTTGATTCCTGGGGTTCTGGACGAGAGATGTGGATTTTAAGTCACGGAGCTGTGTCTTTACTGAACGCCTGACCTGTCCCTGAAAGTGTGTGTGTGTGCACACGTGTGTAAGTGTTAATTAGTTTTTGAAACTCCAGGATTGAGAGAATTAGAGTTGGTTGAAGACCTCAGGTAGTGAGTGGTGCTCTTTTTTCTCTTGGTGTGGTGTCTTCACTCTTAATTTAGGAATTATTTGGGGTGAGTCCTATGCTGACCCCATCAGCTGCCAACTAGAAGCTTTCAGACAGAAGGGAAAAATAAAGACCAAAACAAACAAACACAAACTACAGGGGGCTGGAGGAGGGACTTTGGTGATGTTGATTGCCTCTGAACAGGCAGTGCCGTGGATGGTAACACAGGCCTCCCATTGTTTTTTCATAGGACCTGTGCCGTAAAATCGTTTTTCATATGAGAGTTCTTAGTTAGGTTTAAGTTATGTCTCGGTTGTTTCCTGAGAACTTTAAAGTTGGTTTTGATCTTGGTTTATCAGAATAATGTGATTTTCAAGCTTCATTTTAATGGCATGGTATTCTCCCCTCCTCTTTTTGAAAACGAATACAATCTTAGCTCTCAGGATTGAAACGGATAAGTGGTATTTTATTAGTCTAATGCAAACCTTCAGATTTAATAGCATT